TTGCATGGGAGAGCTGGCTGGTTTTTCTTCCCTCCTGTGGGACTATTGCAAATCTTGGTTAGAACTTAGACAACCTCTTACTAGGGAATGGACATAAGCAATTTATACATGTTAGTCGCAGCTGTCTTAGTAGGAAACAGGCATGTTGCTACTTAGGACACAAACAGCCCAGAAGAGGCTTACGAAACAGAGCTCGCCAAAGCAAAAAAATGCCTCCAAAACATCTCGTTAGAAACAGTCTAGAGGGTTTCTTCTAACAAAGTTTGGGAGGGGGGAGGAAAAGAATTCCACTGGAAAAAAATCCCAATTTGGTCTAACTTAGAAAAATTCATGCTTGTATTTTTATTTTGTGAAAATTCTTGTTTCACAAAAAAAAGATTCCACAAACATATTCCTGGGAATTGGAAGTCCACAGTAAGGTCTCCAGTGACTTTCCAAGTCCTTCAGATTTCTGGGAAAAAAATGGTTAAGAGAAGCGTAAGCCAGGGCTGCAAGCGTTCCACCCACCACTTCCCTTCACAGTGGTTTATCCATGTGGCCTCACATGCTCCTACCCAGCAGGACTGCCGTTTTCCAGGAATAACCCATATCTTCACTTAACAGCACCTTAAAGGGGCCTGGTTCGCCCTGTCCTCTCCCAGCGTCTCAGCTCAAGCATCACATACAACTCATCCGTTTCGAGCACATCGGTTGTCAATACTCAGACCTGAGGTGCAGAGGGGACTGCATTTAGCCGGGGAAGGTTTAAGATCCCAGCTATGCTTCCAGGCTGAGGTCCCAAGGCACACGCCCTGGCCGCCAAATGCGCACTGTGCTTTGCCAGTTAGTTTCCACTATCGTTTCTCCCCCTCTTGAACACCAGCCCGAGTCTGACAGTGACTCATATCAGCTTAATCCTAGCTCCAGAGGCAGGAATAGTTTTATCCCCATCTGGAGCAACGACGCAGCACCACAATCCAAAAGTTTCAAGGCACGAAGTGAAGAGCATCACATTCATGGGAAACCACCTAGAGGGTCAGCTAAGGACTGCGTTCCCTGCAGCTCGAATTTTGCTTGAATACAAGAACGAGACAAGCCTGCTCCCTTGGAAGACGTGGCAGAAATCAGTACGCGATGGAAAGAAACGAGATCTGACAACACATCATTAAAAAATCCACTAACAAGGGGTTTTGCTTTGTTTCTTTTTTTTTATTGTTTTTAAATATAACTTTATTTTTTTCTTTCCAGAAGTCATTATGTCCGACTCCATTAACATTCAGGTAAACAAGTGACAGAACAACAGATGGGCATGATCTCGTAGCATGGGCACAGCCGCCGAGAGCAGGGCTCGCCTTCCGTTGCGGCAGCTGAACATCGCTCTTCCTCGCCCGGCGTTCCCTCCCTCTCCGTACCGGCACGGGCGATGGCTGGCGGGCCGCCGCGGGGTGCTCCTGCTTCGAACGCAGCGAGAAGTCCGAGACAGGGCAGAGAAAGGCAGGCAGTTGTGGGATCACAGCACTTGGCCTCCCCCCTCGCTCTCGGCCAGGCTTTCCCCTGATGGTGTGGAGGGCCAGCAACAGTGGCATTACCAGACCATCTGCAAAAATCAAACCAGCCCCCGGCCGGGTGGCAGCAGAAGGCATTTTGGGCCATTTTCGGCCACTTCAGGAGAAGCCCCCTGAGTGCGCGCAGTACTGCCACAGCAGCTCCCTGAATTTCAGCACAGTCACCCTATTTTGCAATCCGCATTAGCTCCCCCACAGCTGTGCCCTCCTTCCCTCGGAGGGGGGCACAATTGCAGCAGTCACCGCTGCCGGCAAGCAACCTTTTTGCCTTCCCTCAGCACCATTCTGGATGCGTCCCCAGCCTGCCTGCAGGCCCCCCTCCCAGAGGCTGGAAAAACCCATGCTGTTGAAGCCTGGTTCACAAAGCATCCTGGTGTTAAGGTTAACTGGTTGTAAAACTGCAGCGGTTCATCACACTATGCACGCTATGAGAAATGTTTATTAAATTGATTTTTGTTTCATTTCTTTAAAAAAAAAAAAAGGCAGAAAGAAGTTAAACACACTGCTTTGTGGCATGCTCCACAGTATGAAAAAACCCCAAGCATTCAGTTAAGCTGTCAGCGGCTCTGTTTGACCTTTCACTGCGGTCTTTGAACTTAGACCTGGACAGTTGACTCTCCTCTTCCCCCTCAGCCTCCCTCCTCCTCCCCGCCTCAGCTCACAGCCATTTTTCTCAGCTGTCAACTAGCTCCAGGAGATCCTCCTGCTTCCCTGGAGAGGGTCGGGTTTGTATTTACAGCCCAGGATTTCAACCTTAGTTTGGTTTTTTTGGGAGGGGTGGAGGGGGAGCAGGACAGGGCCCCACGCTGCACACACAGATGCACAGGTATGCAGGAGAGGGTCTGAGGCAGGGCAGGGGTCCAACCTGGTGTTTTTTCTCCCTTCATCTCAGCCAGCTTTGGGACCAACCAACTGGCAGAAGAGCCCCGTCGCTTTTGGATCCCGAGTGCTTGCAACAGGGCAAGTCCCCTCAGCCCTTCACAGCTCCCTCCCCAGTTCGTTTTAACTCAGGTCCAGCTTCACAGGAGGCCAGACTAGAGGAGGCCCAAGCGGGTCGTTTCTTCTGAGAGGGTTTCTCAGCTACTTCATCATTCTTAAGCATGATGGTTCCCCTCTGTCCCTCTTCTCCCAGGGCTGACCCCCTCCTGCTACAGCCGATGACCATTCCATCGAACATGAGGACTCTCAGCTAGTAACTCTAAAGAAAGCATCACCCTCTCCCTGCAAAACTCCTCCTGCCCCCTCCCATGACCTTCCCAGCCGCTGGCTGTTCCTCTCCCGCAGCACCTTTCCCGCAGCAGCCGCAGGGACAGGAGGTGGCCCAAGGAGCTGCCTCTGGAGCTCCCCACGGTGACAAGCCACCGCTGAAATGAGCCAGAGAGCAAACTGCAGCCTGTGCGGGACATGGTCTGAGCAAACGTCCTGCTCTTCTTCCTCCGGCAGCTCTCAGACTCCCTCTCCAAGTACCACTTTCTCCCAATTGCTCCTGCCTGGGACAACCCAGCCCCCTAAAGCTACAATGTCCAAGGACATGCCTGACCTGCATCGAGACCCAATCCGTCTTCAAACAGAGCTCCAGCTACATACACAGCATCAACTGAATACTGAACAATATCAAAAATACGGTATAAGGAAAGAAAACAGAATTGAAGTGCTTAATGGCATATTTATACACATTTATCAACAGTCAACAAAAAAGGCAGCAAGTTACACATCCATTCTGTATGCTAACAATCCCGATGCACATATATGCAAACACACATGCTTGGTTGATGCATATACATATAGCCACATAACAGAGTAGATGACCTGAAGGAGCTACGCTGGGTAGCAGGGGAAGGGGTTACCTACTGCAAAACCTCGTCTCATTCTCGATGTGCACAACGTGGACATTCAGGGCAGTGTTGCTTTAAGGCTATTTCTAAGGCTGAATCTTTTCTTGTCCCAACCCCTCAATCCGAAGTTCTGTTGAAGCACTTCCTCCTCTTAGCCAGCAAAACTTGAGAGAGAGAGATATATATTTACCTATATACTTTTTAAAGGCCCTGTATACTAAAAGGTGGGAAGAGGAAAGGGGGGAGTGGAAGGGGGGAAAAAGCCTCCGAATGGATCAGTTTGCCCCAGTGCAGGAAATTCCTATCCTGTTAGCGGCAAAGGCCACGGCAGCCACGTGCAGTGGACAAGGTACTAGTTTAAAATGATCACAGGTCTCCCTCCCTATCCGATCTGAAGCTCTTCGTTGCAACGAAGGGGGAGGGTGAAATACTTTAAGAGACAGAAATATTCCTGAAGCGGGGAAGGTGATCACTAGTTTCAGCTCCTCCCCTTACCTGCTTCGAGGTGGCAAAGAGCTGAGAGAAACTATAATTTCCAGCTCAACTGCCCATACGGCTAAGGAAAAGGCTTTGCTTAAAAATATATATCTATAGAACTATACATATAGATCCTCTTTTTAGAGACACTCTGATTTTATTACGTAGCTCCTGGGTCACTCTCCCCCTGTATCTACATGGTAACAGAGTGGCATACAATAGAAGCCACATTCATTGAATTGGCAATCAAAGCTTACTAGGTCACAGAAAAGTGTTTCAACTCGGGCAACCTAAAATCCTGAATTCCTTTGCTTTGATAAGCTGATCTCCTGCCGTTGATGTAACTGGAAATGGAAGGTCTTAAAAATAAACTTTTTTTTTCCCCCAAAAATCAGGTTATGACAATTTCCCAGCAATGTTACAGTGTGCGACAATATGCTATAAGTAATGAAAATTTCATTGAACAAGAGAGTGATGCAAAGATGAAATTTTAAACATATATGCATATGGCTGGGAACCCCCAAGCATCATCCTGCATTACATAAATGCAGGACTTCTAACACTAAGGACTTTTTTTAAAAGAGTTTTTTTCTTTTTTCCAATATCATTTGTATGCAAGCATTAGCCTAACAGTGGAAACTTAATACAGAACTAGACTCTCCCAAAAACATACGTCTATAAAGAAACATTAAAGGAGGTTAAAAAAGTGACTTAATTTTCAGCTTGTTATATTTGAAAAACTGGGACTAAAATTCACCCCCAGCCACTGACCCTTTAATGTAACGAATCAATGGAAATGAGCCAATTTATAAAGTTATAGCCCCAAGGAAAAAAAAAAAAACAACCACAAAAAGCCAAAAACATCCCCACTCTTCAGAAAGTAAAAAAATTAAAGCACGAATTCTGTTAAGGACCTCGTGATGCAAACAGGTCAGAGAGGAACACCACGCCTGCGTTTCCCTCGGGACACGTTGCACCCGGGTGACAGGGGCTGTTTCCTCTCCTCTCTCCCAGGCTTTGGGCAGTCAGCCAGGCTTCCCTACGGACAGCTTGGAAATGCCAGGGGGTTGGGGTGACGGTAGGAAAAGATGAGTACAAATGAACAAAAATGGTAAATCCTGCTTCAGCATCCAATTACGTATATAAAAAAAGTCGGTGTTGAAAAAAAGAGTAAAAACCAAGGCGAAGTTTTCTGACAACAGGCTGCAGCCTTCTCCTCTGTACACCTTCCACCAACGTTATTTCTGAGTTACGGGGAGTGGGGAAGGGGGAGGAAGGACTCCATCGGCAGCTTTCCCCATCACACAAAACTGATGTGTAACTAACTCAGCCACAAGGATACGGGAAAGTTTTATTTATTTAAAAAAAAAAAAAAGTACTTCAAAATAAAAATGATAAGTACTGTACGGTAATATTGGAAGTATCTATATACATAGTTTTCTTTGTCTTTTGTTGAAATGTCTCCTAGTCTCTTCGTGGCACTTGGGGTCCCCTCTAGCGCCGTCCGCCCTGCTCCCCCCTTCCCCTCCCCGGCTCTCACGGCTCAGTAGACGGAGCTGTTCCTTATGCCACAGCACAGCACCATGCTCAGGATCATCTCGAAGATCTGTCGGGAGACACGGGGACACCAGTGAGAGGCCAACCCGTACGACCTGGGTGCTCCCCCCTGTCCCGAGGTCCCCCACTCCACGTAAACACTCTCACGCCAGAGATAAGAGCAGAGATGCTACGTCTTCGCTGCTGTTACTATTAGGAGTTGGCCTGTTCGAGACGAGGTGATGTTCTCCCCTCGCTTGCTGGCAGCGGCGGTGGTATCTTGCAAGCCCGGCTGCCAGCTGCGCAGCGAACGCTTTGAGATCCCCGTGGTGTTACCGCCCGGCCTTCGCGCAGGCGCCGGGCTTCCAGCCCACGCCACCCACCGCTTGCCGGGGATGAACCCACTGTGGCAACCCAGGCAAACCCCTTCCCACTGCAGACCCCCGTGACAAAATACAGTGGCCTGAGAAACGAGTGGTTTTGGAGGCAGCGAGAAGGCTTGACGGTGCTCTGCCCTTCTGGATGGGGTTGCATGTGCTCCGGCTCCACCACGCTCGCCGGGCGCCTGCCCTAACGTCCCGACCCCCCGGGGGGACGGCGAAGCCCTTGGTCTCACCCCGTCCCAGAGCAGCTGGGGTGCAGAGGGCTGGTGCTGCACACGGAGCCGCAGGGGCATCCGGAGGAGAGGGACGGATCCAGCCCGGCTGGAACAGGACCGGGGCACCCCAAGGTGGCTTCTCCCCATCCCACAACAGCAGGGTGCCGCGCGGTCACACTCACCATGATCACAGCAACCACAATGGCCGCAATACCGATCAGGTACAGCTTCCCGGAGAACAGCTCGTCAATTTTTTTGTGGCAGTTGGAGGACTGAAGCAGAGAAGCACACCGGTCAGAGAGCCCGCTTTCCTCTCGCCTGCCCCCGACACCCAGGAAGTCAGCTCTGCTTCCCCCGGGTCCTCCTCGCGTTCCTGGGTCCTGGCTCTAGGACGTCCCACCAGACTTCACCCCTCCACGCCTGCCAGCCCCTCAAGCAGGAACAGCAAAGGAAACACCGACAGGAACCTCCGACATCCCTCAACACCATCCCTAAAGAAATGACATCCCTACCCTTTATCTCGTTCCAAATAAATCCCTGAATTTTGCTGGGAGCTGCCTTTCCTTGCAGGAGCTACACTGGGCAAAGGGCAGCCATGCCTACCTCAAAAATGTTTTTCAGGACGGAATCCTTTTTTGGGCAGAGGTCATCTCTCCACAGGGGAGTGACAGCTCCTATTGCATTGTCGGGACCACAGCAGTCCAGCTACATGGAGGAATGGGAAAAAAAAAAAACACCCAACAACAAAAAAACAGTGTTAACAGACAGCAAACACTCATGCAATGCTCTCCCCACCATTAAATATCCTTGAAGACACCCAAGACCAAGGAGGCATCTTGAAGGGGGAAACAAGGGAGCAGGAATAATTCTCCAAATTCAGTTTTTTTCTTTCCATGCAATGCAGCTGCTTCCCACAGTAACCCCAGACAGGTCTGGCATTGCTATCCTGGAGGAGCGTGAACCCTGTTCTCTCCAGAGAACTCTGCTGAGCAGAGGAAGTATCGGGATTAGTTCCTCAGAGCAACATTTTTCTTCCATTGAATTTCACTTAATTAGGGGTGCTGAGGTATATGAAAAGCAATTTAATTACAGCTGGAACCAGACTTCCCAGCACAGAGCAAAGGACAGAATATTGAAGAGGGTGCAACTCTGTTTCTTGACGTATAAGAACAGCAAACTCGACAGGCTAAGACCTGAATGTAACATCATCTGCTTTAGGCCCTGCTTTTCCCATTCATTTTCCTGACCTCCCTTATTAATTCTCCTTTCTCCCACATTCTCTTTTCCTCTGGCTGCAAGAAACTCCTATGGAGAGGAGATTTCTACGTAGAGCTTGGAAAGCAGGCAGCAGAATCCCAGTACTGAGAACACAATTGATCCAGTTCGCTCCTCAGTATCAAAAAATCCAACATTGCCTTCATTCCCTGCCCGAGCACTTGTAGCTCAGTTTATCGCCTCTGCCTCGGCGGGGAGGATCAGCCTATGTGCAGCAACGGTCGCTCCTCCCCACTTACCCACCGACAAACCGCACGCAGAAGTTAACCGGGTGTAATTTGCAGGGCGCAGGATCCTGTCCATCAGCGGTTGCTTTGGCCAACTGCACGTAGCCTAAGCAGAGCGTGCAGCAAGACCGCCGATGTCTTACCGTTTCATGAAAGGTCTTCACTACAGCCTTCCCGTTGTTCGTCTCCGATTCTGCCACGAGCGCTTGTTGAAACGCTTGATCGTAGAACTGCTTCACATCTTTGGCTATCTAGGAAAGACAGAGGGAAAACTCCCTTTCAGCCAGAGGAGAGGGAGGAAACCCATCCAGCAGATGTGCCTGAAGGGGAAGGGAAGGCCCTCTAATGGCTCTCACAGGTAGATCAGGAGGTTTTAAATAGATTTGGACCCTGTTTGCTTGCACAGGTGTGTAAAAAAAGGTCTGTCTTTCATAGAGCTCAAGTCCCTCCAGCCATAGTGTGTTAAGAGCATCAGATACTAAGAACCTCATCCACCAGCCAGCAGGTTCCAGCCAACGCTATCCAAGCGCTCCACGAGCTCTCTCTAGCAGGCAAAGAGAGCCGAGGCCCAGAGGGCGAACCACGAGACCCGAGACAGCCTTCAGCTCACGTGGATTTGCTGATGGGCTCGGGAATGCAGAAACAGCTTGCTCTGAACCACGCGACACATGGAGACAAATCAAGTGGGCAACAGGTTTCCCACCGGGGCTGCAGAGGCAGGACACACTGGGGAAGTCAGGAGGATCTTGAGGTGCGCAAGAAAGGCCACCTGTAGGTATGGGCACCTCGGCTTACTGTCTGGCTTGGAAGGGATGGCAGGAATTTGGGAGATACTGCACACTAAAGCCCGGTGAGGCAGCTCATTTGGGTCAGGAAGCTTAGGTGCTTTTAGATGGATGTCAAACTCCGGCTGCGTCCCTACCTGGAGCTGGGCACCCCCATCCTGTACATGGTTGTAAGAGAAGTCTCATCCATACTCTAGCCCTGCCACCTGGGCTGGTAAACTGCAGCCACCCGTGGGGGTCTGCTCCACAATGCAAAACCCCCCTTATTTTCAGGGAAACTGGCCTTGTGTCTTCTCTAACACTCTCCAATAATTTGGGAGAGACAGATGAAAGGAGGACATGCAAGAGAAGCAGAAGAAAAAACCACGAGCAAGTACAAAAGGGAAAAGGCTTTCCAGAACATCTGCTCCCGGCAGCGCAGGCTGGATTAGCACATAAAAAAGAAACTGCAGCAAGAAGGAGCATGATTTCAATCAATTATCCTGGCATTTCTCCGTCACTACTCAAAAAGGTTTGCTTTAGAGGGCAATGTTCTCCAATCAAACCATTTGATTCTGGTACAGAGAAAAAAAATAAAATAGTAATCCTACTTCTTGCCCCCTCTCCTTGTGTCTAAAGCATCTCCAGGGAGGTGGGCTGAGGGAGAGACTGCCTCCAGCTTTGCTGGAAGAGCATCCTGTGCCCACCTGACAGGAGATGACTGTCCCCCCCAAGGGGCTGCAAACCCAGGTGGAACAGAGTTCCCCCGGGAGCGGCTTTCGGTGGCTGGGATCATTCAGCGCCTGCCTCCCAGCCCGCGTTGCTCCCGAGATGCCGCTGACTGAGCCGAGGAGAAGCAAGCTGCCTGCCTTGTGAGCAGGTACTTCCAAACAGCCCATTCATCATCAAGGCTGCAAAAGCAGCCGAGGCCAACAGAGTGCCACTGTTCATTTTAAAATACAAAATTAATTTTAGGGGCTGAGGTCATCGCTCGTGTATTGGCAAATCCTAAATTTCTCAGCTTTATGCTCTGGTGGCCAAAGAGCCTTCTCCCCAGCACGGAGAGCAACAGCCACGGGGTCCCTCCTTACCCGGGCTTCACTTTTTTTGCTGTCGGTTCAGTTGCACGTCTTGGACTCTTCAGGATTCACAAACTAACATCTGCAGGAGGCACAGCCCCTCTGCAAAGGTTAATTAGCTCGCCAAAGTTGCTAGGGAACAGCACCCTGCCTGCATAATAATATGTTTAGCCACGGAAGAGTTTATTCCGGTGAAGTCATGCTCTCTCTGGTGAACAACTACAAGGGTGTTCCCATTCACGGCCGAGCTGGTCATCTGTGGCCTACACGCACGCGAAAGCTGAGCGGGCCACCACCTACTTACGCAGCTGCCTTACGTCTCTTAGTAAAGTAAACACATTTCCTACTCTGCCAGAGTCCAACCTTGGCTTTGAGCACAAGCAGTCCCTTTCTCTCCTCTAAACCCGCGGCGGCTGAGTGATCAACACCCAACCTGCTGCTTGCTGCAGCATGGCCGCGGTTCCCACGCATTGATAGTTTTGCTCTTTGAGACCAGACTCTGCACGTGTATGAGCACGCGTGACCATAGCAAAGGGAAGGTGAGCGGAAAGGGAAGGTGAAAAGCTGGAAGTTTCAGTCCTACCCTTTAGCTAACACCCTCCAGCCAGAGGACCTCATCCAAGCCATCCCTAGCGGGCTGCCTGGGACAGACACACGAATTCTACCCCTCGTGCGTGCGTCGTATTGATCAGCAGCAAGCTCAGCCCTGGCAGACAAACAGCCCAAAGAGGGTCATACGATACCGGCAAAGAGCAGGAAGCACCAAGCAATCCCGCTGACACGGACGCAGGCTCTCCCCGTATGGTATTGCCTCCCTGCGGGGCCGCACGGCTGGGTTCGCTCTTTGCTCTCTGGCAGCGAGGACGTGCAGGTGGCTTGCTCTCACAACTTCATACACGAATCAACTCCGACTGTGACTGGCCGTGTGGCAGCAAGGAGGAGACCCAAGCGAGACAGGGCTGTTTTTATTACAGACGTTGCACTACACGCTGTAAGGGGCAGCTGCTACCATCAAGTGCTCGAGTTTTAAGCTCATCAGCCTGGCCAAGAGGAGTTCGGTGACCTGCCCGAGTCACACAGCTAATCCAAGCCCCTGTGACTCAGCCCGGGAGCAGCTCACGAGCAAAACAGCTCATGCCGCGATCTGCGGTTCTGCCCCAGCCTCCCAGTCCCACAAACGCAGGTTTCAGAGTCCTCTTACTTGGTCTTTGTTGACAAATCCCCAAATTCCAGCCGCAACTTCGCAGGCGAACAGGATCACCAGGCAAGTGAAGAACTGCAAAGACAAATCAAGAGAGGGACACTTAACGTATCTGGCTACAGGCAAAAGCAGCAATTAGGTGGGGTGGGGTGAGGCATGGAGCAGCACTTCTACTGACAGAGATCGGAGCGAGGTGTCGCCTGACTTCAAACCATTTTATCTCTCCTACACATGCTTAGCCCAAACACGTTTTCCTGTAACGCATCAGATGCCACCCCACATCCAGACTTCCCACCGGGATGACTGAGTGGGGATTAGCAGAGCCCTCTCCACACAGGGACTGGCAGGGATGAGGATGCCCTGTGCACCACAAGACACGTTGCTCCTCTTCACAGAATCACAGAATCACTAAGGT